TTATTTTTCTTAATGGTAATTGTTAAGCTTTATCATTCAAATTTGTTTTTTTTATTTTGTTCGTTATATTATTCATTACATCAATGTTATTTTCCAAAACTATTTGGGTCAAGTTTAAGCAAACCCCTTCTCCTTTCATTCTTGTTGGGGTTAGTTGAGCCTCATTTTGTTCGCAAATTTTTTTTTTTTTTTTTGCATTTATATTTTTATTTACATCTTCTATTCTATAAACATGTCTACAAGAAAAAAAAATCATGATGTAGTGGTTAATAAGATATATCCCCAAGCTTGTTAAGTCTTATCCCTACTGTTCAATCAGGTACGAGTCACATTTATTACTGTTTTGGGCATATATTTTATTTATTTACAACCAACATTTCAAATGCCATACAAATTTTTATTTCATTTGTTTATTTTTTTTAAAACCGTCTCTCCTTATGAAAATATAAATTTATTTTATAGAAAATAAATATAAAATGATGGAATTTATGTGTGTTATGAATGTGTAACATTGCAAATTAGAAGGGGATTTGTGGTTATAATATATCTTCATAACCTAGGATATTTTCCTCTTTATTTTATCTTCTTTCTTTTATTTTCTTTGATTGCCTATGTATCGGATCTTGGATATTCAGTTAATGAGAATATGAAAAATCTTTCTTTTAGTAGTGGTATCATAGTAAGTGTTCAATTGTTCGCATACCTCTTCACCCATATCACCATCCTTAACTCTCAAACTTGCAACTCTGCTCTCTGTTGCAGTTATGCCATTGATTGCATACCTTTGCTAGCCTTGCTGTCATCTGCATCGTGTCATCACTCATGCTTTATTGCTATCATTCTCTAGCCATATTGAATTACATGCCCCTTATGCTTCAGTCAGGACTCCCACTTTTCATACGTGATTTGTGGCTTGGTCGCTACTCTGCATACAGGATCTTCACCCTATTTTTCTCATGATTCGTGCTTGATGTCGTATGGGAGCTCACCAAAAACCAGCATAATGGAGGACACTTCCCTCTACATACTTTCATTGCAGCTCTGCAGACAATAGCTTTCCATGTTGTACCATTGGAAGACTCCATGTGTATGCCCGCTAGTTGGCCCACTACTCATTATGTCACTTATCTTGCTGCATCTCATCATACGGCCTATGGTTCTTGCTCCCTCAAGTGCTTATCATTCCACTTTTTTTAATTTTTTTAATAATGTTCACCCTTCATTTATGCTTGATTTAGGAACTTCTTTTGCCATTTCATTTCTGATTGGCGCTCGATAGCTACCCTTTTTACTACCTTAAAAATGAAACCCTATTCTACTATGGGTACATCTATCAAAGTCAGTAATTATCTCTTGCATTATAGATCTTTTTTTTCTTCTTATGGAAAACTTAATCGTTTAGACTTTCCTTTACCCAACTGAACACCACCAAATGCTCCAACTGATAAGCCTTCGATTTTGTTGTTCACGTGGATGTTTAATAACCTTAAACTTATGCAATGAATAATTTCTTGTTTAGGAGATTATCGAAGGGAAATGAGACTTCTTCTCACCTACTTTCAAGTCTGTAGCCCCTCTCAACTATACACCCTTTCTATCTCATTGCATGTTGGTGACGAATTTATTCTTGAGTGATTCAACAATTTGAAATGCACATAAGATGAAGTTTAATGTTTTCGAAAGAGAACAAAACAAAGACTCTCTCTGTTCTTTTATCCCGGACAATATGCTTAATTATTGGCAAACTGTGTTGTCCCCAAAATTGCTACTGCCCTTTCTCATGGTTTTTAGGTCATCGTGTTATTCTTATGATCACAATCAAATTGCTAATGCTGTTGGAACTAGGGTTTTAGGTGGTTGTGGATGTGCTCACAATTTCTTTCATGTTGGTATCATTCTCAAAGGACTAATCACTGGTTTAATTGTTATTGGATAAAAAATGGTCATCCTTTGCTACTCAACATGCATCACCATCTCTCTTATCTATTCAATTGGTAAACACTCCGGTACAATTTCATTACCATGAGGATTATGATCCTTTACTACAACATTATAAGTTAAATCACTTTAGCCTCCGATGTGATTCTTTTCGTGGCTGAACTTTCATTGTTCATTTTCATATGATTGGCTTGAAACTTTGATGCATTTTCTTATTTCATTTATAATCAACCATTTTTTTTCATTACTTATTTTGATTTCCTTGGTGTCATTATTGCCTTTGAGTCATCTTATTTTGTCTTTGGAAATGGGCCTATTAATCCCTCCTCCTTTACCTTATATAATGCTTTTTATATTCCATAATTTCCTGTTAAGTTTCACTTTTTAAGTTTCCTTGTTAAGTCATCCGAGAGTCACCATGAAGATGATTGATCGAGTTGTTGAAGTCGGAAGCATTTATCAGGTCATTGTTCTTGCTCAACTGCCTTGCCATTTCACCATATTATTCACATTTTCGTCTCCATCATTCGCTTGCAGAATGTTTTCTATTTTCAAATTTGATTAGTGTAGATTGTGTGAATATGGCAAACACCACCAAACATCTTTTCCTAATTTAATTTCCTTTTGTAGTAGTGCTCCTTTTGTCTTAGTTCACTTGGATTTACGGGTCTAAGCCTTGTGCTCATTAACTGGAGCTTTTGTTATTGTTATTATTTTTATTATTTTATCGATGACCACAATAGAGTAAATTGGATTTATTTGCTGAAGTATCAGCAGAAGTTCTCTTAATAGTTATTTATTTTTTATTTTATTATTATTATTTTTTTTAACAGAACAAGTTCTTGAATATATGTTATCGTCATTTCATCATTTTTGTGATGATAATAGTATTATGCATGTCCCAACAAAATGGAGCACGAGTATTTTGGTGCTTGCCTTTACTCATATTTTCCCAACTCATTTATTCAAGCTTTAAATGGGCGGCTTATGGGTTCTACTATTTTGAAACGTTTTCCGTATCAGCCAACTCAATTATGTCCATGTTCTGCACTTTATTGTCATTACTTAAGCTTATTTATTCTTACTAATGGATGCCAATAATGCAATTTTTTCATAGTTTTTGACATGGAGTAACCTTTTGGATATATTGCTCAAGGGGAACCCAAATATGCAAACCTTAAAAAACTATACCTGGGCTAAAACAAATTGCCATGCTTGGTTGACATATCGTAATGGTGTTGAGTTTGTTTTTAGTGCCAGGAATGATCATTCTATCTTTATTAGGCACTTCTCTTTTGCATATTGATTCTTACCATTTTTGTTAATGGCTGACAGTCTTCTCATTGAGAATAATACATCCAATATTAATAAAATAAAAACCATTTTCATATTATTTTTTTCACTAAAGATTTGAGGCATCCAAAATACTTTCCTGGCATAGAGTTAGCTTACAACATGAAATGTAATTGGACAGTTTTTGGGAGCAGGCATTTGGATTCTTCTATGATATTTATAATCATTCATAGAAATTTGAAATTTTTGAAGAAGCTTCTATCTACCATTTTTATTGGTTGACAAATCTATTTGAATGCCACCTGAAGTGATATATCATTTGTTATTTGGATGATTAGTCAACTTAAAGAACATATTTACTTTGTTGTTCCTCAGAATCTTCACATGCATTAATAGTAGTTTCTCAGAAATAGAATAATTTATGTATTGAGTCTTACTCTGATGCTATGCGGATCTTTTAGTACAAAAAGTCCATCCGCAGTCTGGTATCCCGGAGAATCAAGAAGTAAATTATTGTAATTAACTCTTGGATATGTTGAATTTAAGTTCATGGTTCATTGAACTTGCAAAATGATCTAGATTAAGGGCCCTTTTGGGGCAAGCTTATAAGTGCGGGGGCATTTTTGAAAACGCCGCGATACCGTTTGGATCACCTGTTTTGCCTGCTTATCTGAAAACGCGGTTGCATTTTTACACTAAACGCAAGCTACGGGTCGAACCTAGCGGGCCGCGTTTCAGGACAAGTTGTTTATCTTGAAACTCACAAGCTGCCCTAAACACACCCTAAAACTCTTTTAGAAGAACGAAGATTTCATGTAGCTTAACCCATGATTCTCAATTGTGCTAATCAACACGCGCACACACACATACACACATACACACCAACCTACCTTAATCCTTTCTTCTGAATCGGGCTTGCTTCCCAGCATTCTGTCTCTGCCAATGTAGAATCGCTTCTGGTTATTCGGTTTATATTTTCCACAGGACCTAGCTTAATGATCCAATAAAAGGATTATTGTTTAGCCTTGACATTCTTTTAGATATAACCCCAATTAATCCTCTTAAGTGCAGTCATGTTAGTGAATCTTTTCTAATTAAAAAATAATTAATTTCATAATAAAAATTTCAACAACTTGACATTTCAAATGGCAGCCATGTATCAAACGAAACCTTAATTTTACCCCAATTGTCAAGTGTCAATAATTCTTCACCTTTCCATTTAGAAACTTGTATTTTCCCATTTTTTAGATATAAAGGAAGATGTACGTACATACATGCCACACAATTTCTATGCATTTTCATATGTAACATCCAAACTTTGATATTTACTTTAATCACACTTTATCTATGCATAAAAAGTGCATGACTTTTAAAAAAAAGTTAATAATAATGTTTTTTTTGATGTGATATGAAATATTTGTACGTTAAGGATGTAAAAATCAAAGTTTAGGTGTTAGATATGTAAATTCCCAAGAAACGTGTTATGTACATAAATGCCCCAAACATAAATAGAAAATTATTTTGATTTGGACTATTTATTTTCTTTTTTTAATAAGCTTTCCTTAAACTAAAAATTTTACATGGATAGCTTATTTTCCTCGAATGTAGCTTGGATTGTCCATTTTATAATTTAATCAAGTTTTATGACATCCATTTTAATATTATCATATTTTGCTAAAATCAAAGTCAATTGTGTGCGTTTACTTTCCATCCAATAAAAAATTCCTTTCAACTCTATTTTTTCATTCAACTTTATTGTAAATCCACAGGATGGCAATGAGGTGTTTTTCAGGATTAAGCGCAGCACTCAACTTAAAAAACTCATGAACGCCTACTGTGATCGCCAGTCGGTTGATTTGAACTCCATCGCCTTCCTCTTTGATGGCCGTAGGCTTCGCGGCGAGCAGACTCCAGATGAGGTGACATTCTCCAAATCAATTTCCATATATTTCTTCTGCTAAATCAAACATATATTCTTTCTATTCCTATGTATTTGCACATCTATGCATGATTTTACTTTTGAAAAATTAAAAATAGTGGTATTTTTGATGTAATATGAAAAGTTTAGGTGTTAGATATGAAAATACATAGGAATTGGGGGTATTCATGCAAATGCTCTATTATTTATTTATTTTATTTATAAAATCTGATGATAAATATATTCCAATTTATCTTCAGCTGGAGATGGAAGATGGAGATGAAATTGATGCCATGCTTCACCAAACCGGCGGGTAACTATTTATATTTCTGATTTGAGAGGCGTTCTTTGGCTTGGCAGTATTTTGTATATTTCATTGGGTTTGATATAAATGAACACACAAAAAACTAATACAATATACTATTGTGAGTTTTGGCCAAGCTGAGGAGCAATCTGAAAACTGATAAATCAGAATTTGGATGAGAAGATTATTGTGTTTTTACCACTGTTTGTTGTTTTTTTTTTCTAAACTCAAGTTTTTTGCCATGAATGCTGATTCTTAAGTGAAATGATGCAGATGTTTTTTTGCAAGATAGAAAATTTTTGGGTAGTAGTTTTTGAGATGAAGGGGGGCATGAATTGTATCCAAATTGGATGACATTTTAGGAAATTTACATGCATATTACACAAATTCTTTACTTCTTTACAGTTCTTGCCCAAAGTTACATATTTGCACTTCGACAACTTGTGTCACATGCACTTTTAAAATTTCAGTGATGGTAATGTTTTTCAGGTGATGTTGAAGTTTTGAGGGTATGCATGTCAATGTGATTTTTTTTTTTTTTTTTTTTTTTTTTTTGTATTAAGATATCTAAAATACATAAGAATTGTGGTATGCTGTATGTACATCCTAAAATTATTAGATTTTTTTTGAGATTCGTGTTGGGTTGAGATTATGGTGAGTTTGGGATATGTAAATGCGCAGTGAAATTTAATAATGCTTTGTCATATAGTCTAGTTAGTTTTGTAGTTTATAAAGTAAATAAAAACATTTTAGTTTAAAATAGGTCTATTGAGCCAACCTTTTTTTTTTTTTTTAAACGGATTCATATTTTTCATTTTATTTTTAAATAAGGTTTAGGGCGCAAATCAACCCAATTTGAATACAAAAGTCCTTTTTCCCAATCTGCTTTTATTAACTTGGAGCCACTGCAAAATCCGATCCAAAATGAGTACATATAAAATATAAAATATAAAATACACAAAATTGTTCAAAATTTTATTTAAAAAAAGATTTCAATTCTACCCTTAAAACTAAATGAATTTTATTTATCAACTGCAAATTACCAAAAATAATCAAAATTAATCGGTTACATTAACCTAAGTATTTTTGGTTTTCTATGTATTCTTTCCCCATCATGATTTTTTTGTCTAATATTACGTTCATGAAAAATATATCTACACCAATATTTGCAGAGAGAGAGAGAGAGAGAGAGAGATAAAAAAAAAAGAACAATTAGTGTTTTGTTTAGCGTGATGTTTTTGTGTTTGGCTCACTTGCTTAGTGAGTCGAAAATGAGCCAATCTCGTAGTTATATGATGTTAAAAGGGTTGGGGCAAGATTTAAAAAATATTATTTGATATTAAAATTATTTAAATTTAATTTAATAATTTTTGTAATTTCGAGCCGAATGATCAAATCTTTGTGTTTGGTTCGTTAACTTAACGAACGATCTGAACACGAGCTTCTTAATTAGGGACTCTTCAGGAAGGAGCCATTTTGACAGTCCTATATATATAATTTGATTTTTTTTTCACTTAAAATGGGCTTATGGTTAATTTCCAAAATAACCCCAACACCGACCGTTCAGCTCTCTTACACAATCCAGCCTGCCTTTTTATATTTTTTAATTATAAGAAAAATATCTAACAATCAAAATTTAATTTTTTGCATTTATAATAATACTGTTCGCGATGAGCTAAATTTTCTCAAATCCTAATATTTATAGACAAAATATTATAAACCTAAAATTTATAATTAAACTATTCGATTCATAATACATAAAAATCATTATATATATATATATATATATATATATATATATATATATATATATATATCCACACATAAGGGATTTTCTAATAGATTGAATGTTAATCAAAATAACCTAAAATTAATCCACCTCCCACCTCCCACCTCCCACCTTCCCAAGCTCAATGGAACAAACCATCCCGAAAAGCGGCTCTAATGGCGGCCTCGAAAAAACCCTGAAAGAGGTCATTCGCGAGGATCACGCCGACGCAAGAGACCTCCACTGGAAATCCCTCAAAGACGGTATCCGCCTCCACCACGCCAGCACCGCCTGGGCCGCCGCCGTCGCCGGATCCGCCAACACCCGTCCCCGCAACCTCTCTCGTACCGCCTCCGTCCGATCCCCTCAGAAACATCCTCCATTCGGCGACGAGCGGGCGCTGTTGCAGCGCCCCCGCCCGCCGGCGAAAGAGGAATCGAAGAAGACGTCCCTGAAGGCTCTGCTGGCTGAAGGCGGGGAATATTCCGACGATGAGGAGGGGGACAGGGGACGTGTGGGGAGAGAAGACGAAGATGAGGAAGATGAGGAGGAGGGGGGGAGTGAAGGGGGAATGGCGCGTACGTGCGGCGTCTGTAATGTGCGGCATAAGGGGACGGCTTTCATTCCTTGCGGCCACACTTTCTGCCGGCTTTGTTCGAGGGAGCTTCGGGTAAGCCCTGGAAACTGCCATCTCTGCAATGAGTTTGTTCTTGAGATTCTAGACATCTTTTGATCTCTATTTCTATTATGGGGGGCATTTAGGTATAGGACACCCAATTCTCATACATTTACATTTCTAAAGATTAAAGTTTGATTTCTGTGTTTATAGATCTTGAATGTTTTATAGCATCACTATTTTATCTTTTAGAAAATAAAAAGAGTTTTTTTTCATGGATTTATAGGATGAAATGTGTGTAAGAGTTGAGGTTTAGATGTTGGATATGTATATACGTTGGAGTTTAGTGGTGTGCATGCAAATCTTACCTTTTTTTATAGATTATTATAATTATATAACTAAGATTGTGAGCATATAAATATGAAAGATGATGAGAGATTTGGTATGATTAGTGTTGTGAAAAAAGTTCTTAATGGTTTCATCATATATGTTACTTGTGAATTTTGTTATTTTACATTATAGTTATAGTTATTGGTATTTATGTTAAAATAAAATGCAGTCATGTTTGCAACTATTCATATTGAGTGATGGTGGGTGTATGACAATATTTTTTAGGCTATGAGATGGTTTTAGTTCTTTATAATGTTATGATTTATGATGAGTGATTATTAATTCGAGGTAATTGTCTTTGTGTTGGTTCTGATTCTTCTTTCAAGTTAAATGTGAGGCCATATTTATATTATTTGGAGAGTGTGCTTTGATAAATTTAGCTAAAATCTAAAGTACTCGATGGATATGTGATATATATATATATATTTTGCTTTTAAATGTCTTAACAAACTTAAAATTAAGTGATTTTAAGCTAATTGACTCTCTATCATCAAGTTGCTCCATAAGAAAAATATAATGAGCCTAAGATTATTCAATTCTATGAACATTAGAGTACTTAAATGTTGAAAGAATAGCTTATATCAAATGAATCAATATTGACCGTCTCATGAAGCGTCTTGAGATTTTCGTTAAATTTATATAAATAGGACGCTATGTTCAATATAATGGCGGAGAAAACTAAGAGCCAAGTCACATACTCTGTTTAAGAGCCCACAATTACTAATAATCATCATTGACGACAACCAGTGATTGTTGTAACCCAACTATTATCTCACAATTATTGTAGCATGCTTATTATTTTCAAGTTGTTGTTGTCTTATCATTGCAATTTAGCTAACATTGTTGTTTGTTAACCCCTGTTATTATAATAAAAAAACAAGTCTCCATAACTCTATAACCTTTTCATCACCGGCTAGAGAGAGGAGAACTTTACAATTTTATACGTAGTGGATTATTCTGACTGAGATATGTCCTGTTACTTTTCACATTTATATAATTTTTCATATAAAAAATTTGGTGTGACTTATATTCTCTTTTTATCTATTTATTTGTGAGATTTTAGTACAAATCTAAGATGCAAACTCTTTACTCTCCCATCATACATTTTCTAGCACTCAAATGATGTAATAAAAGAAAATAATATCAAGTGATGTACCTAATCATATAAATATGTTTTTTATGCCCTATATAATTATTTTAAAGATCTTGCAGTAACGTGTAGACCTTGGAGAGGGAATTTTTTTAGCTTAAAAAATAATATATTAAAATATTCAATATTTTAATAAATTATTTTACTAAATTCATTATTTTTTATCAATATTAATAAAGTCTTAGAATGACTTGTTCCCATAATTATAAGCAAATAAAGAGAAGAGAGAGAGATAAATGAAACCTATTATCAATAGCCTTTAGATTTAACAATAGTTATATATTACATTTAATTTATCATTATTTAAGCATTACAACATAAAATTCTAAATATACAACTCAATAGAGTCGAGAGAGAATGCGATTTATAAATAAACTCAATGAGTTGTGGGAAAGATGATGATGAGTGGGTTGATCAATTCATAACTACTTTTAGCTAAATTTATTGCGGTCCGAGCTAAAATTTGAATTGAGCAAAATTCACAGCCCTAACTATGTATGTAAATGCACCACCAGATGCATTTTTTTTCTCAATGCTCTTTGCCATCATCTCCTCCATTCATGCTTAAACTTTCATTCTATATAGATATAACTGCCAATATTTAATAACAAAACATAGAAGAAGCACGACCGGGACAAGTATGGCTTCACCAATATGAGCGCATTACAAAACATAGGAGATGCAAAATCAAGATAACTACTAATGGCTTCACCAATAGGAGCTTAAAACAAAATATCATGCAACTTTAAGTAGACGGGAAGACTCAACTCTCAAGGCAGTTTCCATTCCCCAAGACAAAGCCAGGACTGGTCACAAAGGTAACGTTTTTTTAAATCCGGCTATCACCAAACAAAATCCTTTAAAGAGGTCCACATTTGAAGCATTAGGTAAAGGGAATGTCTAGTTGGAAGTTGGCCACTGTGAATAGTGTGTTCGGTTATGCTTGAAAAAATTATTCATGTTTGGCTAAAAAAATTCATTCGTGTTCAGTTCGAAATAGACTCATTAGACTAATTTTTAAACGAATAATTTTTTTTAAAATAACAGTTTGTATAAAAATTAATTAATTATAATTTATAATATTTATATTTGTGTGTGTGTGTATTTATTTTTTTTTGTATTTATTTTCGAGCCAATTCGTGCCTATCACGAGCGAAAAAAATTTTCTTCGTTTTTGACTCGTTTATATTTTGAGCTTAAAAATTTGTTTGTGTTCAGCTTGTTAGGCTTAATGAATGAGCAGAATACGAGTTACTTAACGAGCCGAACAAGAACTGTTCCTGAATAACGAGCCAAATTGATAGCCTTAACAAGACGTAATATTTTCTTGCTTCAAAAAGCCCTTTCTTCCTCTTTGAATCTTATTTATTTATAATTTTAGTGAATCTCTTGGCAGAGTAAAATCAAGTTGAATCATGTTCATTATTGGCATTTGGAGCCATGTAAAAAAATATTTAATTATATAATTCTCTTATTTATTTAAAAGTTTCATTATAAAATTAATATGAGAATAAATAATATTTAACACATATTTATTATTATTTTTATCTCATTGAATGATGGATGTAGCTTAACATTTCTTACATCCTTATATAAAACAAGAAAATATTACGCCACCAGACACAACGTGATGCGATCCACCCGCATATTCAGACGAATAACTTATTATTTTCTCCATATAAAGAGGGTTTCAACAATTGCAAGAAGGGTACATGCTCTTCTCTTTAAAATGCATTGTGTCATCATATTTTTGAGAAAATGAATGCCTTAAAAGAGAAATTCGACATCCTTGATAGTATCTTGGTAGCTTTGTTGTATGGTAAGTGGATGAATGAAGAGGGAGCTTCTGAAAGAAAGAAGAATAAGAAGGTAAGAATGAGGGGCCAAGGAGTTTGCTTCATTGTTGAGCAATTAAGCGAAAACTAAGGGAGAAAACCCTAGGGCACACTAAAACTCGTAAAACCTGAGAAGAGATGGCCTCAAAACAAACATTTTTGACTGGATTTTTTGTGAGAAATTATCATGCTTCAGACATTTTTGGCCGTATAGCTAATTAGATTGAATGCCTATATAACCATATGACTTTATAGTCGGTTTGGTAGCGAGAGTATCTCAACTGGCTGTCCAGCTGCCACCTTGATTAGGATATTTTGTGCTTTGTATCCACTTGACTATGGTGATGAGTTTTTCTTCTCTATGGGAGCTGGTCCGACTCACAATCGGGTTCGTATTGAGATAAAATAATATGAGACAAGAGGTCACACAATTGAATCGAGGCTCCTCCCACTTTTGCTGTTATGACTGAGGTCAGATAAATTTGGGTTCCCACCTCTGTCATTTTGAATATGGTCAGATAGAGGGTAGTTGTTTCTCGTGAATTGAGGCAACTTTTAGTCAAAAGACTACATGCGAGATTAAAAGACTTGGGTCACATCAGATGATCAAGTTTTTTTAATTGTCCACATTGTTGAGTCTCTGAATAGTTCACTTCGATCAGGATGTTTTGGTCTTTATGACCACCTCGATGGTTGTGATGGGTAGCACACTCCGTGGAAAATTTCTAGTCAATACTTCGTGCAAGAGTACAACAGGAGACCTGGGTCACACGAGATGTTCAAACATTCTCAATTGGCCATACTGTTGAGTCATTGGTTAGTTGCCACTTTTAATCAGGGTACCTTGAGCTAAATAGCTGTCTGATTGAAGTGATGGGTTCTTCTATTCATGGGGATTGGCTAGATTTGCAATTGGGTTTACAGTCAAGAGAAACATAACAAATGATTGGGTTACATGAGATAACTCGACCTTCTCCTATACTGTTGTGAATATAGTTAGGTGGAGATCCTCATCATTTTGTCATTTCGAAAGATATGTTAGATAGATTGATCTGCCACTGCGAATGAGGTGAGGTAAGACTTTCCTCAGTCATGCCTAGTCCAATAAATCTGGCATGACAGAGCTTTTTTGTGACTAGTTGGTTTCAACTGGTTTAGCCACCCCCTCAGTCATACAATTTCTAGTAAATTTGGCCTGGCCGAGTCTTTTTATGGCTAGTTCGTTTTAACTGGTAAGCCACCCCCTCAGTTATACCCTGTCCAACAAATCTGGCCTTGCTGAATCTTTTTGTGGCTATTTGGTTTCAACTGGCTACCCACTCCCTCAGTCGTATCATGTTCAATATATCTCACATGATCGATTTTTCTTTTAGTATTCTCTTTAGACGTCACGTCGATTATTAGTAAAGACTTTTTTTTATGTTTCCACCAAGTGCACTGTGTCTCAGCGGCGCAACACACTTGTTATATGACTTTGTTACATTTTTATCAAACTTTAACTTTCGTTCATTTTTATCCAAGTAACATTATGATGTGGCATAAGCCATAAATGACATTTTCCTTTACAAGTGCATAAATTGTTATTTTCTACTTTTGCACAAAACCAACCAAAATTTGTAGTTGAAGTAACGAACAAGTCTAATTTTTAATGAATTGATCAAATAAATTTTTAACTTTTTGAGTTTGATTGAATTAATTGAAATTAAATTTATAAGAAAAATAAAAAAAATAATTTAAATTCCCCAAAGTTTTATTTATAACATATTTAGAAGTGCCCATAGTTAGAATATTATATATATTAAATTTAGTATTATAATAATTTTATTTCTTCATTTAAATCATCTTATAATAATTCTAATATTTATTAGGTCATTCATTTCAAACCCAATTGAAAACATTAAATTATAACCTCCCATTTCTTAGCTTCAATGTTCAATCCAATTTCACAACCATGTTAAACTGTGAGACATGTTAATAACATGGGACATTTACATAAAAATCATACATTTCTTATGTATTTATACCATCTAACATCTAATAAAATTTTCATATTCCCATGCATAGCACTCAAATATTTAATATAATGTAAAAAATATTAGTATTATTACTTCTTAAAAATAAAATAACACCAATGTGTATAAAGGTAAATATCAAACTTTAGTTGTTAAATTTGTAAATACATAACAATTATGTGGAATGTATGTTATTTCCCTATAAAATTTTACAGTGAAAGCATATATATATTATATATATACACACAGAAATTTACATACGTAGCACACAATTCTAACGCATTTACGTATCTCACAACAAAACTTAAACATAGCACCTTATCTATATATGAAAATATGGATTTCACTGTTAAAAAATGTAAATCCGAAAGAATTGGGTATTGTGTCCGTAAAAATGAGAGTTCTAGTATGAGATACGTAAATGCATAAGAATTGGGTGCTATTATGCAAATTCTTCTATTTTATAACAAAACTTTGAAGATGCGCGACCAGATTAACAATGACAGGTTAACAATGACTTCACCCATACGAGCATATAGCAAAACATAGAAGATAACTTTCATTCTATATAGATACAACTACCAATATTTTATAACAGAACATAGAATATGCAGAACCAGGATAACTATGACTTCGCCCATATGAGCATATGACAAAAGATAACAAAAGATAGAAGACGCACAACCAACATAACAATGGCTTCACCAATACAAGCGTATAAAGGCAATATGTAACTATAAATGGATGCTGAATTTCAAGCATAGCTCAATAGCCACAAGGGAATTTGAAAGCAAAAACTTCAGCTCCATCCTCCATTCCCAACTGAAGACAAAACAAAACAAGCAAAAAATACCATTAGAGACTAATTTGCTGAAACAAACATTAAGGGTGCATTTGAGGCAGCTTGTGCTTATCCAGATAAGCTGCTTATCTCCAGATAAGCTGCTTATCTGGAAATGCAGACCATGGGGTTGGACCCGCGTTTCTCGTTAAGATAAGCTGTTGAAACGCAGTTTTCAAACAGTGAGACAACGTTTTCAAAATGTCACTACAGCGGATAAGCTGCCCCAAACGAAGCCTAAAGTTTTTAAATTTATTACCTCCAAGGGAGTATTTTCATATTTAATCCGATTACCACGAAAAAAGAACAAGATCTGATGGAACTGAAGAGTCAGATGATCACAAAAGTCATTCATGAGGTTCTGCAGCCGAGCAGTACTCTTTATTCTGAAAAAACTCTCATTTCCATCCTGCAACAATATATATATGGCAGCAATGATGACTAATTAAAAAAAAAAAAAAAAAAAAACAAAAAAAACAAAAAACAAATGCAGAAATAGATTTAAATTAAGAGCATGATCCATTCTTTTGTGCATCCTACTAATGCTACCAACAAAAAGTAACCTCCAACAACAATGGAGAAAACCTTTTGGTTGAATTAAACATGATTATGGCAAAGAAAATCATTTGCAATTTGATAGAGAAATATATCACCTCATATTTTATTTTGACCTGGAGTGTTTCTTCTCCAGTTTCAATGTCTGTTCCTGGCATTTTCTTTTCTTTGTTTTTGTGTGGTTTGTCTTCGAAATGGGTCGTGGGTAGTATATTCGTGTTTGACTCGTTTCGGGCTAAAATGTTCAAATTAAACTCAAATTGTAGTCCACTTTGAGATGGCCACACCACATGTCGATAATGCTCGAAGAATGAATTTCTCTTCATTTAAACACCTTTAAGGCTGCAAGAAAATCTCTACAACAGATGTGGGACTAAATAGTAAAAGGTGAATAAGCCTTGGCGATAATGTTCATTATTATTTTTCTTTGAGCATTTACATGCATACTCATTAATTCTTATGTATTTACATCTCTAACACATAAACTTTACTTTTTTAAAATATAATATAAAAATTAATATAAAAATGATATAAACAAATATTATTATTTAATTATTTCAAACTAAAACGTGTTGAACAAGAACAAACAAATCATTGTCAAGTGTTCGACTCATTTATAAATCGAGCTCAAAAAATATTCGAGTTCGACTCACTTGCTTAACGAAAGAAATGAATACGAGCTACTTAACAAGCCAAACATGAGTTGCTCACGAATAATGGTTTATTTTTAACAGCCATAGCAGTCCCTGTTTTAAATAGAGGAGTTAATTGGATGCTTCGAGTTTGATAGATGGGCGAAGGGAACAATGAGACAATTCAACTCTCAATCCAGCTGCGATTTCTCAAGACGAAGTCAAGCCGACGGTCAGAACTCTTAAACACTATGCTGGGATTTTAGTGAAGTGGCAACTTGAAATGATTATTACGAATATATATATATATATATTAATTAGTATTTTAAAAAAAATCTAATTGACTACGAGGCTGCAAAGATTTATGATCAATTAAAATATTGATTAAGAAAATAGAATAAAAATTATTAAATTAGATTCAAATGATGTTTTAATATAAATAATAATTTTAAATCTTGCTCAAATTCTTATTGTCTTATGTCTTATGACTACATAATTAAGGTTGTTAAAAGGACTTTTTGTTTGTGAACAGCTGTGTCGGGCTCGTTTGCTAGCCAAACACAAACACATTTTTTGAGCTCGAAATATAAACGAGCCGAACACGAGCTGAGCATGGAGTTCGGCTCGTTTCTAAAGAAAAACTTATAGTTAACTATCTTTAAGAGCTAAAATCAGTGTTTTGTGTTGTTTTACCCAATGACACTTTGCTGAATATATTGCCATACCCAAACAAACATTAGATTCAACAAAATCTTCCTTAATCTTTTGAACGATTAAGACTTTATTTGTCAGCTCAGGCTGAACACATAACATATTTAATATATTAGATTAAATGGATCTTTCTCTTTGAAGTCGTTAAGGTGAACGTCTAAAAAAGTTACATCAGCTGAAACAAACTTTTGGTCATCACGTCATATGAGGCATTGCATCAGATATCATAGGATGCAGCATTGAAGTATAGTTACAAATAATATGTTATGTTAATTGCTTTGAATAATACAAATTCTTTGCAGAAGCATGCATACTCAACATTAAGAGAGTCATGAAGTCACTCATAGATCCAAATAACTTTCCTCATTCTCTCTGCTATTGCATCAAACTCAAAACCCAAGTAATTGCATTTAGTTCTTGGCCAGTCATATGTAGCAAATTTAGAAATATTCTTACTACATCTCAACCAATCCCTTGAAATCCTATTGTTGTGATAAAGAGCAAGTTTGTAATCAAAATTATGCACATTCTCTAATGGCGAACTCAAAAAGTGTGTTTGTGTTCGGCTCGTTTGCTTAACGAGCCGAACAAGGTGTTGAGAGCCGAACACAGTGAATGAGCCAACCACGAGCTGTTCGCGAATAAAGAGTCGTTTTGACAACCCTAATCATGTAGTCATAAGACATTAAGGATTTGAGCAAGATTTAAAAGTAGTCTATTAGATTTTTTTAAAATACTACTCTATATATATATATATATATATTTGATGAGTAGTATTTCGAGTCAAAACAAGCCGAACACGAACAAATCGAGCTGAACACGAACTGCTCGTGAAGAAAGAGCCTTTTTGATAGCCCTATTTCTCACTTCCTCCTCCATTTATCCTTAAAAGTTTCATTCTATATAGACATAATTACCAATACTTTATAACAAAACATAGAAGATGCACAACCAAGATAACAACTAATGGCTCTACCAATATGATCATATATAACAACACATTGAAGATAACTCTCATTTTATATACATACAACTGCTAATATTTTATAACAAAGCATAGAAGATGCACAATCAGGATAACCATGGCTTCACCAATATGAGCACATTACAAAACATAGCAGCTGCAAAGCCAAATTAACTTCTAATGACTTCACCAATATGAGCTTATAACAAAACATCATGCAACTATAAATAGATGCTGAACTTCAAGCATAGCTCAGCAGCCACATTCGCGTAGGAAGACAAGAATTTCAGCTCCATCCTCCATACCCAACTGAAGACAAAGCAAGCAAGCAAGCCAAAAAAATACCATAAAAAACTACTCTGCCAAAACAAGCATCAATTTTTATAACTCCATTACCTCCAAAGGTGTATCGTAATATCTAAGATAACGACGATCAAAGAGGAAGCGAAGCTCATTCAACGGAAGAGATAGAGGATCACGATAGGCATCCATAAGCTTCCGCAGCAGAGTAGTGCGCTTCATCCTGAAGAACCTTTCATTCCCAACCTATAACAATATATATGGCAGCAATGGTGATTAGACTTACAATGCAGAACAAAAATACAAATGCATAAATAAAATTGAATTCCTAAACCAAACAATCGCTATAAAATCCATGAATCATTTGCAGCTGGTTCTGAGAAATCCATCACCTGGTTTTTTACTTTGACGACGATCTTTTCTTCTTCCTGTTCTGTCTCCGCGCCCTCATCCGACCTTGTTCTCGCGGAGAGATGTGAATGTTCTTGCGCAGGAGCTGCAGATGACGATGTGATTTGAAAACTCATGTTTAATATATTATATTAATTTTATCTTTCTAAAGATGAAACTGCAGCTCAAATTTATGGCTACATAAAATTCGAGCTAATTAACAAGCAGAGTAACAAGCAGAGTTTGAGCAGATTTGGTTCACATACGTGTTATGAGATATACCAGTTGATGTGTTATATATAAATCAAATGGGAGAACGGTCAACGAAGCGAAAAATAGAACGAGAAAATAAAGTTCACACCAGAAAATAGTAACACAGCTAAACACACAGATTTACGTCATTCGGCAAATTGTCTACGTCCACGGAGTTGCAGATGATTTTGCTGCTTGAAAAATTTACACAAGTTGATCGTCTCGACTTACAAGATGAATCTCTCACTTCGTTGCTCTCTCTTTTTCTCTCTCTACAACGAGACGAGATACATCGAAAAACTCTATACCAAGATACACTGAAGAAGATAAACTTACAAGAGAAATAAACCCAATTTTTCTTCTGCCACAAGTCACCAAAAAGAAGCTAAGGGAGAACATTCTTCTTCTTCCTTCTGTTTCAAGGAACTGTCAGCACTTCTCTTTTTCTATCCTGAGGAAACCCGAAGAATAAGACAAAAAACTGTGACTCTAAATTTTCTTCATCTTTTGTTCGCAACTTAAAAGAGACGACCGAGGGGGGGTTCCGTTTCGCGAACCTAGAGGCGGGAGCAGTTCTCGAAACTGCTGGGTAGCAATTGCGACCTTTTGAGATCAGGAACAGGGGCATGAGCGGGAATGCGCCGATTAGCAAAAATGGCGAAGCGACGCGCGAAGTGGCTTCACGCATGCACGAGAGTAGGCGGAAGCAAAGATCAGGGTCCAGCTAACACTATGATCCTATTTCTGATTCCACAAGTTGAGCTACGACATGTGCCAAAGAACTTCGAAGCATGAGGTTGGGATTTAAGGTCTTTGAGAGCGACATAATTCACAGATTGCTGATCGAGAATTTCTGGACGTGTTGAGTCGATTACCTTCACAATTAGATAAACTTAGGGTCCTGATTGCCGTGTATGACGTAAACTGAAATCATATTTTTGTGTTGTTTAACATGCTGCCTAAACTCTGAAGAAAAATCCTATATTTAATCGAATCAAAGCTCAAATAATTATTTTATTATATATTAGGATAGCTTTCTTTAGAAAAAAATTAATTTTAGGTATTTTTTATTCAATAAATTAGATGTCTACTATCTCACTTCTAAAGAGAAATATGTTGACTTACTACCATTAAAACTTAAAATCGGTGCTTTATGTTTTGAAGTCACCTTTTTTAGAAACATGTTGACTTTCTTGTACTTTCTTACACTTAAATAGATGTGCACTGCCTAACGGTTGAAGATGAATCTTATATGTACTTGAACCAAAAGCACAAATTATTATTTTATTACATTTTAGGCTAGCTTTACTTAGAAAAAATTGAATTTAGGCAATACTTGCTTAATAAAAATATATATATATATATTATGTATTGTCTCACATCTAAAGAGAAACCTAAAATTAACAACTTTAAGAGCTAAAATCAGTGTTTTTTTTAATGTTATGTTGTTTTTCTTTGAAAATATTTTGACTTTATCATTATTTTGACATAAATAGACGTGTAATCCTCCTTTGAAGATTAATAGGTGAACTAGATAGAGAAAAACTAGGTGTGTTATGAGAAGATTGAGGGGAGTATCATGGAGAGTTGTAAGGAGACAGTGAAGTGTTTTAATCTGTTGAAGGGAATTGATAGGTCGAAAGAGAGAGAGCGAAGGGTTTGTAACCAGTTAAAGAGGAAATAATGAATGGTCTGTAAGAGGGGCGGGGTTTGTGGTGGAGGAGGCTAGTGGATATGACAATTTGTTCTTCCTCCTTTGAAGTCATCTAGATGAATGATAAAAAAAGTTGCATTAGTCTTATCAAACAAATATCGAAGGATGTAGCATTGAAGTATAACTAAAAAATTAAATTTGTATTAAAAATAATAACATGTTATGTTAATTGATTTGAATAATACAAATTCTTTGCAAGAGCATGCATACTCAACATTAAGAGAGTCAAGAAGTCACTCATATATCCAATTAACTTTTGCAACCTTATTCTCTCTGCTATTGCATCAAACTCATAAACCAAAAAATTATACTTTAGTTCTTGGCCAATTATATGAATATTCTCATAATTTTATGTGGATACTTCATTAATTTAACATTGGTCATTCATTAACTCTTATCATTTGGCTAAAAAAACATTTTCCTCTAAGTCTATAAATTATTAATTTATAGTTGATTTTTAATGAATTGATCGAATCAATTTTTAACATTTTGATTTTGATTGAATAAATAGAAATAAATATTATATTAAAAAACAAAAAATATTTAAAATTCTCCAAATTGTTATTTATAACATATTTAAAAGTGTCCATAATTGGAGTATTATAAATTAAATTTAATATTTAGTATTATAATAATGTTATTACATCATTTAAATCATCTTAAAATAATTCAAATATTTATTAGGTGCATTTCAAACCCAATTGAAAAGCTTAATTTAGAATATCTTCTTTTTCAACATTAAAATCCAATCTCACTATCATGTTAAATTGTGAGTCATCTATTAATAAATTGGGGCATTACATCGTACACTTCTTATGTATTTATGCCATCTTAACATCTAATAAAACTTTCATATACAGATGGACTGCACTGAAATATTTAATATGACGTAAAAAATAACAATATTATTATTTTTTAATTGAATGAAACAACAAAAAGGACATTTACATATGTGCCACAAATGCCCTATACATTTACTTATCTAACACAAACTTCACTTTTTACATTTATTCCATTTTAACTATATTAAGGATAATTATGATATAATTGATTTGATATTTAAGATTTTGAGTATTGTGTGCAATTATAAAAAAATTAGATGTGAAATATATTAAATACATAAAAAAAGTATGCCATGAAGTAAATGCACAATTAGATGCATTTTTCTAAATTCTATTTCGTACTTCTTCCTCAATTTATCCTTAAACCTTCATTCTATATAAATTTAATTGCCAATACTTCATAACAAAACATAAAAGATGCACAATCAAGCTAACAACTAATGGCCTCACCAACATGAGCACATAACAAAACATTAAAGATAAACTTTCATTCTATATAGATATAGCTACCAATATTTTATAACAAAACATTGAAGATGCATAATCAAGATAATTATGGCTTCACCAATATGAGCACATTACAAAACATAGCAGATGCAAAATCAAGATAACAATGACTTCACCAATATGAGCTTATAACAAAACATCATGCAACTTTAAATAGATGTTGTAATTCAATATTTTATAACAAAACATAGAAGAACATTACAAAACATAGAAGATGCATAGCCAGGATAACTATGGCTTCACCAATATGAGCACATTACAAAACATAGCAGATGCAAAACCAAGATAACAATGGCTTCACAAATACGAGCTTAAAACAAAACATAGCAGATGCAAAGCCAAGATAACAATGGCTTCACCAATACGAGCTTAAAACAAAACATCATGCAACTTTAAATAGATGTTGTACTTCAAGCATAGCTCAGCAACCACACTGGCATGGAAAAACTTGAATTTCCGCTCCATCCTCCATACCCAGCTGAAGACAAACAAAGTAAGCAAAAAAAATACCATCAAAGACTACTTTGCCAAAACAAAAATCAAAATTTTAACTTTATTACCTCCAAAGGGGTATTGGACGACTAGGGAAGAGGAAGCAGAGCGTCTTCAATAGAAGGGGAAAGAGGGAGCGGAGCTTCTTCAATAGAAGAGCAAAGGGGACACGGAGATTCTTAAATACAATAGCAACAAGGGAGCTGAACTTCTTCAATAGAAGAGCAAACAGGGAGTGGAGCTTCCTAAATACAAGGGCAACAAGGGAGCAGAGCTTCTTCAATAGAAAAGCAAGGAGGGAGTGGAGCTTCTTAAATACAAGGGCAACGAGGGAGCAGAGCTTCTTAAATACAAGGACAACGAGAGAGTGGAGCTTCTTCAATAAGGGAGATAGATAATCACAACATGCATGCATGAGCTTCCGACATTGCTTAGCAGCCACATTGACATATCTAGCAACAAAGGCTCTAAAACCCATGAAGAATTTGCAATTGGATCAGAGAAATCTATCACCTGGTATTTTACTTTGATGACGATCTTCTTCAGAAATGGGAAAGTGCTCGCGCAGGAATTAATAGGAGAAGGGAAACAATGGGGTGATTTAGCTCCTACGGCAGGGCTGGCTGTGGGAAACGAGAATATGTGATTTGAAGAATAATGGAACATGAGCTTTTTATTTTGGTATATCTACAAGGCTTTTAGCCTTCCTATTGTCACCTTCCAAAAGAGCCCTTAGGGGTGGTGGACAGCTCAGGACTTAAATACTACTTTTTTGGCTCTACATCTAGCAGATGTGAGACTATTTGTCCGTGACATTCTCCTCCACTCAATCACGTGACGACCTCATCACGGATCGGCTTCACTGAGGGTCCCACTGGACCATGGAGAGTCCACACACCTGACATATAGTAATCTGTTTTGATACCACTTGTCGATGGGCAGCACAGGACTTAAATACTTTTTTTGGGCCCTACACCTAGCCGATGATTTATCCGTGACATTCTCATCCACCTAATCACGTGATGCCCTCGTCACAGATCGGCTCCACTGAGGGTCGCACTGGACCATGGAGAGTCCAAACACCTGGAAGGCAGTAATCTGCTCTGATATCACTTGCCACCTCCCAAAAGAGCCCTTCTTAAGAGAGGTGGGCAGCCCCAGGACTTAAATACTTCTTTTTGGCCCTACACCTAGCCAATGTGAGACTATTTGTCCGTGACACTATGTTATAAATGTCTTTATGTTTTTTTAATTTTTTTAATAAATAATACAGCCATTAAAATTTCTTTTCTTATTTAATATAGTATATTAATTTTGTATTAAATATGAG